CTTTTATCCACTTTAAATCTTTCTGATAATTGTACATAAGAAAACCATTGACAAGGATATCCTTCTATTGTCAAATCTTCTCTTGATTTTATTTTAAAATCTCCTTGAGAACATTCTAGTACATCACGGTAAGTTAACTGTTCATGTTTATTTATCATTGCTTGTCTATAAAATGCACTGAAATTTACAAAGGTGTTTTTGAGCAAAACTTAAATTTGTATTTATTCCATACTCTAAGAGTGGCCCGCCTGACATAATGATTTTTGAAATCTACATTCACCTTAACTTTGTCATAACTTAAATATCCATGCCACCCAAATCTCAGATCGTCCTTCTAACTCCAATAACCTTTTTCTTAGCAGCACCCACTCCTTCATTTAAACTAAACCTAAACAGGCAGCAAAATATAAGTTCAAGTCTGGTAGCCCCAATCCTCCTCTTTCTTTTGCATCTTGTATTACTTTATATTTAGCTCATGGTTTTTTCCTCTGCCGTACAAATTGAGATATATCCTTCTGCCATTGTTTAAATGGTACATCAGTTGTCAAAACAGTTGTCTGAAACAAAAATAACATTATTCTAGGTAAAACTTTCATCTAAATCACAGAAATTCTATCCAATACTGACAATTGTAGTTTATCCCAATTGCTGCCAGTTTTTGATTGTGACAGGTTCTGATCATTCCCGTTCTGTTGATAATCCTCTTGTTGAGCAAATTAAGCATCTAACCCAAAAGCTCCTTGCTTATGGCCAGAGAAACATCCCTCAGCCTTCTTCATCACAGCAGTTGCCAAGCTTTTGTTGTCAGAATTATTAGTTCATCCATTTCTCTTAGACACCATTTTATTTCATTTAATAACTAGAGATAAAAAAAGACAGTGCTTATGTCCTTGCACAATGTAGCCACTTCTCACTCAAGCTTTTATGTACATATCAAACATTGATCTATATATGGGGAGGGGGATGTAGCTCCAGCTGTGAAAATAGCAATCCTGGCGGGTCCCCTCCCTACAACAGACAATTGTTGCTTTTGGCCTTGAAGGTTTGGTTAATTTTTTTTCTTCCTTTAATTCTCTCTATTTTATTTTTGTAGTATTGTAAGCTGGTTGAAAAATAAAAATAAATTAGAATTTATCAAGAGCTCATATGGTATCTTTCTTCCCTCTTCCATCCCATTTTAAAATGATTTAGTTTACATGAAATGTTTTTATTTTATTGAAATATTGCTTTAAATATTATTTAATTTTATACTTTGTGCTTTCAGACACTGCTTCCAGAATGTTAAATAAAAGAATGCATTACTACAGTGGAGGGCTTTTATGCACAGTGGAGACATTTCCAACATGTATAAGTGCATCTGGGAGATTTCAGAAAAAGTTTATCTCCCCACAGTAAGATCTCTTTCTCCAGATGCTCAACCAGCCCATGTTCTTTCATTGAAACATTTGAAATGAGGCTTAAGGAATAGTTTTGCCCCCTCCCCCCAAAATTTGTCATCTTATTTAACTTATTTAACATACAGCTACTTTAAAACTACAAATGATGCACGCGACAAACTTTCAGTGGAATGTAGCCCTTTAGCCTACCTGTTTTAATTATATGGTCCATAGGTTCTGTGCTGCTACCCAAGCAAAATTATTCATTTAATAGGTTATCATTCAAATCCTGAAATATTTCACTTTTGTCCCATAAAGCAGAGTTCCTCAACCTTGGCAGGTTGGGGAATTCTGGGATTTGAAGTCCACCCTTCTTAAAGTTGCCAAGGTTGAGGAGCCCTGCCATAAAGTACAGGAAATGGTTAGATTTGGATTATTTTAACGGACAAATTCTGCCATGTGGTACATATTTACTCAGAAATCAGTTCCCCAGGGTTCAGTGATTTATTCATAGGAAATTATACGTCAGGCTGCAGCCTAATATGTTTATTGTGGTATAAATTTTCTGAGCCAAGGAGAATGTTGCATGAGATCTGTCAACAATAATGGCTCTCTGATTTTATATAGCAAACTATTATTTGTTTGGAAATTGGAAAGCACAGATACCAATGCATATCTTTCCACATGAACCCATAGTAATTAAATAATTATTCTTTTTTTTTAATTAAGGAGAATGAAAGATTATATAAGCAAGTTAAGGAGCTTCAACTAAATAACAAGAAAAACGAGGAAATTATGTTTAAAGAAAATCAGCATTTGATGACTCAATTAGCAGCTTTACAGTGAGTTTATTTAAATGTATGGCAAAAGCTATGATAAGTTTGCATAAGTTATTATTTATGTAGTAAAATAAATAGAGGAATGTGCCCATTTATCTGGACATGTAATTCCTATTGAACATAGTAGGGCTTACTTCCAAAGAAGCATGCTTATAATTGTGCTCTGTGTCTAATTGATTTTTAGCTAGCAAGTCAGTTGTAGCCATTCCCACCCAAATCAGTGGGTTTAATCAGAAGACTGTCTAATATTAGGTGATGGATAGGTAAGAGTTGCCTTTTAAATATTGCCTCATTTCTAAAACTGTAAAGAGTGGGTGAGATTATGTTGATAGATGTGATCTTTTTTAACTTAGTACATGCAGAGATTTCCTTTTGAAAGGTTTTTGCAGAAAAGAATCCATTTTAGAAAGATAGCTTAGGTCAAGAGAAATTTCTTATTAAGTTTGTGAATAAGCCACATAATATAAAATTCTGAATCTCATCTTCTTGCTATTCAAATTGAATAGCATCAAAAAGGAAGCTATTCAAGAAATTCCAATACAGAAGTTCAGAAACCCCATTCTGCTCTGAAAGATTACCACGTATGTCAAGCGTTCTGAGATATTCTTGTCATTTGCAATAACATGGCACTAGAAAGGAGTAGCAATGAAGTGTATGTGTACATATAAAAGTTAGATTCAGTTGCAGGAAATATCCAAAATAGAGACACTTTCTGTCTTAAATATAAAACTGTACAAAAGTACTAATCTTGTAATTTAAAATAGGGAGAAGCTGGAGAAAAATAATGTTTTATCATGTGGAGTGCAGAATGATAAACCATCTGAGAATCAGAATTTCACAGACTTGATTTCAGAACTTCGAGCAGCCAAGGTAGGGCTTTTGCAAGATCCTGTCCTCAATATGTAGATAGGTGACTATTTTTATAGTATTTCTATTTTAATTCTCCTTTTAAATAAGCACTAGATTGAACTGGTAAAATATATTACTGATTTAACAGATCAACACAGAAAATTTTCAGTTCAATACTTTCCTGTTTCTTTGTGACTGGGTTATCATCCTTTTCCATTCAAAGTGTGCATCATCTTTCCAACAAGCCCCCAAATTGCAGGAGCCTTCTTTACACAAATAGAACTTCAGTTTGTAACTGGACACCAGCTCTTTCTTGCTGATGCTCCTAACAATCGGGCAATTTTCCTACAGATTTCATAGATCCAGTTTGTAATGTTTCTTTTGCTATCTTGCTCCTTCACAGAGCTCATATGTTGTTTGGTTTCCTACCACAAAACTAAACTGCATGATCTACAGTACATTGGCTTTGTTGGGAGTAGCAGCTTAAATGGTCAGGTGACAATTCCACCTGGGCACTTCAACAGACTGGTTTCTCAATACGGAGTATATTTTCCTACATAGTGTCCCTGGCGTGGACCTCTGAATAGATCTGCCACTATTCCCAGCCACATGGAATGCTCAGTTCAGTGATTCATAATGTGTCTTGCATGTCTTTTTTTTCTCTGATGTCCCTGTGCTGGGTGGACTGAAGGTTACAGAAACCAATTTGCTTGAAGAGAGAAAGCATCTAAAGCAAGATAAACAAGCCCTTGAAGTTGATTTGGCACAAATAAAGAAGGAGCGAGATTTGGCAAGAGCCCAGATTGCTTCTGCTTCAGGTAACATCCTGTTCTAAGGAGACTATTTCTCAATGAGTAAGATTGTTCTTTGCTTATGTTCTTAGAAATGGAAAATATTACATCTGTTTAATATTCAATGTGTTTGTGCAAGTGATACTTTGAGAAACAGTGCAGTCCCAGCCTAAGTGTCTTCCATGCATACATGCTTGCATGTGTGTAGAACAGCCACCCTGAGTCTTCAGGAGGGTGCAGTGACTTCAGTATCTTGATGAGAGGCATTTTGCTGCCTAGAGTGCCACAAGCGTGGCACCCCTTTGAATAATTTGCACAGCCCAGCACTATTTGTATGGTGCTTTGAGCACCTGAAAGAAAAGCAGGGTAGAAATCTTGCAAAAAAAAAATACAAGTACAAATAAAAACATTGGTTGCAAGCCACAAGTTTTTTATATTTCAGAAGAGATTAGATTGTCCTGCATGAAAGCACTATATTGTATTATTAATATATTTTATTACTACATTAGGAAGGAATGGAACGAAGGACAGTTATTACCCAGAAAAACTGTTTCCTGTCATTTGCTCTCTTTTTGTTTTTATATATGAGTCTTTTCTATTGACTTTTCTATTGGTGTGTACAACATTTAAAGGAGATACAGTGGAACCTCGAGTTACGAATTTAATCCGTTCCGTGACTCTGGTTGCAACTC